ACATGAAAGACGAAGCATTTAATTATGACCCTGATTTAAACTATTCCAACTTCCCTCAAATTGTGATTGGCGGCATGTCGGTAAAGTGTACGTACTGTGATGCGCTCAAGTTTAAAGGCGAGACACTTGGAATGTGCTGTTTCAACGGAAAAGTTTCATTACCAGAGCTTCCAGAGTTGCCAGAGCCACTTAAGAGTTTAATGGATGGTGATCATTTTAAGTCGAAAGAGTTCCCTGGCATGATCCGTAAATACAACAGCAGCTTTCAAATGACGTCATTTGGCACATCTGTCTCGATGCCACAGTCAACCGGATTCATGCCGACGTTCAAAATTCAAGGACAGGTGTATCATAAGGCTGGCTCACTCATGCCACTGCCAAATGAGGAATCGAAGTTCTTGCAAATCTACTTTCTCGGCGATGAAGAAGCTGAAGTTCAACGTCGTTGCAATGTGATAACTGGCACCAGCAAAAGTTTGATTAAATCTCTGCAAAAGATGCTGCATGAACACAATAACTACGTCAAACAATTAAAAATGGCACTTGACGATAATCCGAGTGAAGACATGAAGATTGTAATTAAAGCGGACAAAAAATCAGTTACAAGTCATGCACGTGTGATCATTAGAAATAGAAGATGAAAGTCAATAAAAGATATTTCTTTTAATTAATTGTTTTAATTTCCCGAGCGTAGCCGGGTACTAAGGCTAGTAATTACATAAATATGAAATGTACGTGATCTCAGACTGCGCACACTTTTGAATTAGCCAGTAAAACATGAACTGTAAGAAATAAAAAATACGTATATTCTGTCATATATTCTTAATTTGATTGTGATATTTCGTCCATATAGCGATAAACTAGTGCCCGTACACTTGACATATATTCTTCAAGACTCATTTCACCCAGTTCATACGCTTCTTTATTTAAATACAATTTAAACTCTTGATTCTTAGTTGATACAAGTTGCTTCTTGCATGATTTTTGTCCAGTTAATTCTTGTTGATATTTCTTATGTGCTAGGACGTCTTCATCCACTATTGATTCAATCCATCGACAAATGTTTGGATGACACGGCATATTACTAAGCGCGAAATGAACGAAATTAGAGTTTAGCACGGAAAAAATTACTTAATTACTCATTTTTGATGTTAGCTGTCCAGAATTTCTTGATTTTTACTCATTTGTCGTATCAGTCATCATTTATATTATTCACACAGTGTTAACCTCTGGTAAACTCTAACTTCTTCATTTCGCGCTTAGTAATATGCCGTGTCATCCA